GCTCTAGTTGTCGCAGAGTAACGAGAAGTGCCCGTTCATCGCCATTTTCGCTTCTTGCAGAAGTTCCATCAGGTACAGTCCTTTGCGAACAGCTGCGCTGGCTGCGATGAATTCTGCTTCAGCTGACGAAAGGGCGATGAGTTCTTGCTTCTGAGAGTTCCAGGAGATGAGTCCAGCAGGTTGGAGTTGGAAAATGAATCCTGTGCGGGAGCGTCTGTTGTCAACATCTCCTGCGTGGTCGGCGTCTACGTAGCCATGTAGTTGCAGGGAGGCTGTTAGGTTAGCTTCGTAGGTGAGGCCGACGTCGGGAGTGGAGATGAAGTATTGCAGTGCTCGGCGTAGATCTAGTAGATTCTCCCCTTCAGGTCGCTTCAGGTACTGTGCGAGCTGGCTTGCGACGTAGGAGAGATCGGGCCGGCACGTGACGGCGGCGAACAGGAGACATCCCAGCTGCTGCTGATAGAGACGATGGTCGTCGGAGGAGAGGGGTGTGGTGTTTGGAGCGTGGTTAGGAGGGGGAGCGCGGTAAGGGGTGGTGATGTTGATTGGTGCGATGGCGAATCGCTTCGCGAGTGTTTCGGCGTATTTGGCGGCGGAGAGGTGAATGGAGGAGGCGGACTGAGTCACATTGAGACCTAGGAATTGTGTGACGTTGTGGTTGACCGTCACTTCGAGTTTCGCCTTGTTGTCAACCTCGAACTGGTCCAGGAGCTCCGTGTCGTCGCCGGTGTAGAGGAGGTCGTCGACGTAGGCGACGAGGAGGATGAATTTGCCGCGCGATTCCCGTTTGTACATCCCGAGGTCGTGTGGTGGCTGGGTGAAGCCGAGCTCGATGAGAACGGTATGGAGGTACTGCTGCCACAGACGAGGTGCCTGCTTGATCCCGTAAAGGGACCTTTGGAGAAGACACATAGCGCCGTCGTTTTCTTCCAAGGCGTGCGGCTGCTCGACGAAGATGATGGCGTCGACGGGAGCGTACAAGAAGGCACTGCCAACGTCGATTTGTCGAAGCGGTCGCTGTTTGACGACCGCGATGCAGAGGAGAATGCGCACTGAGGTGTGGCGGCCAACTGGTGCGTAGGTGAGGGTGAAGTCCACCAGGTGCGTTTGCTCAAACCCCCGCACCATCCATCGCGCTTTGTATTTGTCGATCGAGCCATCTGCCAAGGTCTTGATGCGGAAGACCCATTTGCCGCTGAGAATTTTCCTCCCCTTTGCCGATGACCGGAGGACCAGCTTCCATGTGCCACGTTTGTTCAGTGACGCGACTTCTGCCGCCATGGCTGCTCTCCATTTCTCACAGTCGGGGCCGGACAGAGCTGTCCGAAAATATTAGTTATATTTTCTATATGTAACAGCCTGTAGGATTGGGTACTGTAGTTATAGCCTTTCTAGTTGGTGGTGCACCATTCTTGCTTGTGCTTGCTTATTTGTACTGCTTGCTCTATAGTGAACCACCTCTTTTGTTGGTCTCTCTCTCGCTACTCTCGCTTTGGTCAAACCCTAGCCATGGTGTCTGAACTTAATCTACTGCTTTGACATGGTATCAAGCTAGTTTTCGATCAATGGGCCTGCCAATTTTCGACCCTGTCATGGCGGCCCTCCCTCCCGACGACTTTCTGCTGCGATCGGGCCGTCAGTGCGACCGTCGCGTCAAAATCCGCGACGGTTTCGACCGTCAGTGCGATCGACGGGGCGAAGGCGGCGCTCTGCTCGTCGCGCTGCTTCGTCGCCCCGTCGTTCGCGGCCACGCTGCCCCAACGTCGCCTCGTCGCTTCGGCCCCCTATCCTGCTCGTCGCGCCCGAGCAGCTGTCCCCGCCCACCCTCCCGCAGTCCCCACTGCAGCTGTCGCACTTGCTGCTGCCGTGCGTATGTGTTTACCTCTCTTCCCTCCCTTCCCTCTTCTCTTTTCTCTCCTTTTTACCGTTCTCTCTCGATTCTCCCTCCCTTCTTCTCTCTCTCTTTTTCATTTCCCCTTCTTTATCATCTCACTACCGTCGTTTTGCTGGTGCAAGTCGCGGTGGTGTGTTTTTGCTGGTGCCAGGCGCGCACCACGCTCAGCGTCATGCGCATTATCCGCGGCGGCAGCAACAAAGAAGGGCACGAGCATGTCGGCAAAACTTGGTGAGTTTAAATTGTGAAAGAGAGTGAGAGGGTAGTCATGTGCGAAAATACTATGTGATAAAGAATCCGGAGAGGCACAGATTGAGAGAGAGTGTGTGAGTGCGTATGAGGACGAGAGCGTGAGGAGAAAAGAGCATGAGGAGAGTTGAGAAAAATGTGAAGGAGAATATGAGTGCAAAATTAGTAGATGAAATCGACATTCTAACCTCATCTCCTTTCCTTACCGACTTTGTTTGAATGAGAGAGAAAGGAAGAGATAGAGTGATTCTTATTGTTTCATATTAGATCCTTTCCCCCTTTTGCCTTTTGCATGACACACTTCGTTCCTCCGTTATGTTACTTTGTTTTTTCTGCTCTCCTTATCTTCCTCCTAACATTCTGTTCAACGTTTTCCCATGGGGACTATTTCGAGGTAGCTTGCTAGGCGAATTAGGGCATGAGGTCAAGTCGTCCTAGTTAGGCCTGTTTTCGTTCATTTTGCTTCAGTTTCTTGTGCCTATGTTATCCGCTTTTGTCTTCGATTCCCTTTCCAGTTTCTGGTTTGTCATTTTTTAAAACACCTCCACGGTCCACCCCTACCTTCTATATAGCTTCCTCTCTCATTATATCGATTATTTTTGTGAGATGACAAGACATTGCGTGTTTGAATGAATGAAGGTGATATTCTCGTGGGTATAGTTTGGCTTATATTCATGAGTATGTGGAAGGTATGAGACCGTCAGTACATGCAAGCGTGAGATTGCATACGATACGGGATTGCATAAATCAGCGAGCTCGCGACCTCATGGTTTAAGCCGTCACAATTCATTCATAGATTCAGTTACGCCATGATAGTGTTACTTCTATTTCTAACTAGGTAAATGCGTTATCACTAACTATGAAATTGTGGATCTGTTTGTATGTGTGTAGTATCAGTGACATGGTTGTGAAGCTTTGTAGGTGTGTTTAGATGGGTTTGCTGTTTTTTTTCCTTGCTCTGCTTTTGATTCACCATCAGCATTTTGTTACCTTACCACCATTAGCTTTTAATTCTGTTTTGTTTTATGATTTTCTCCTCATCTGCCTTGCTTTCTTTTCCCTTTCCTTAGCACTCTGATCATTGTTTTCTTCTCTCCCCTCTTCCTCCCTATCCTCTCCTTCATTCGGTGCCTACTTTTTTTTTTTTTTTTTTCAGATTTACTTTTGACTTTCATTCCAGATGTGTACATCTGCCAAGATTACTTGTGAAGTGGATAATAGTGATGACCTGTAGGATTGTATTGCATTGATTTTTTTTTCTTTTTACAATTCGTGCATTGAGATTTTATGTTTGCGTGAATTTGTGTGATCTTGTATATCTGTGTGTATGTTTGTGTGTGTACCTTTGTGTGTGTGTATGTGTATGTGTGCTATGGGTGTGTGCATTCATCCATATCCATTGCAATAACAATGCATGTCTTTGATTTGTAAAAAGAAGGATCAGGTCTATCATTTCACAAAAGGTTCATTGGCGCACTCAGTGACTCGTGTGCGACCACTTCGAACTGGATTTGATAGAATTGACCTTTTTTTTACACTTCACAGATTGTGTTGTTTCATGTGACAGTTGTATTATTCAAAAGCTATGCTGTTGACCTCCCCCCTATGCTAGGCAGGGGATGGCGGTAGCATAGTTCTTGGGCCGTTAACTGTCGCGCATTTTATTATTTGCATGTGCATCATGATTCATGACATATCATATTTAACATTATGCATCATATAGCATCATTTATGCATCATGCATTTATTTATCATTATCACCACATTATAAACGGTAATAGTTAAACATAGAATACGAATAGTTCAGCATATCTGAACAAAACTACTACAAAAAAATCATTCAACAGCAGTCAAAACTGCTCAAAATGTATACGGTATGAGAACGTTACTGTAGTTTACGAATTTTATTTTCATGTTCTAAAAATATGAAAATAAAATTTGGCAAAATCGATCGTAAAGGGTTGCTTCGCAACCCAAAAAAAAAAAAAACAAGAGGCAACTAAATCGTCTTAGGGTTGCGAAGCGTTTTGCGTAAAATACATATTTACTGTACCAATAATATTTGTTAACACTATAGGTTCATCATACTATTTGGTAAGAGGTTCATCATACTAAGGTAAATTTCTGGGAAAACGGCACTCACGGGATTCGAACCTAAAACCTTTCGTTCCCCGACTGACTTTCTCACCATTGCGAACAAACCACCACGTATATTTTTTGTACGGTATTCGTTACTAAACATTATAATTTCGGCGGATTGTCCACACCCTAGGGTTTTTCCATCTCCTTTTTTTCGCTCCTTAGCTTGGTTCTCTGTCCTTTCTCCAGTCAAGCACCACGTATCAGCCCAAGGTGAGAAGTTCCTAACCTATCAAGTAGATCTTGCTTGATTATGAGCTAGACTAACATCCCTTCGAAACGACTAACATTCCTTAGTAGATTAACATTTCGTAATTTCGCATCCTAGTTGTTTAATTTTGTGTTAGTCGTTTCTAAGGGATGCGAGTTGTTTAAGTTTATGTTTAAGACCCTTTGTAAAGTTTTCAGCTTTTCCTCGTGTTATCATTCATGAGGCATCCGTTTTTTTCCGTTCTTCATCCGTATTTCATTTCCTTGGTTGAATCTTTACTTCCTCATTTTTGCTTAGTTCCTTTCATGTTTTTCTCATCCTCGGTTTAGAACTGTCCTATCTTCCTATATGTCGTGCTAGCGTCGCTTACGCCTATTATTTTCGCTTGGCCCCGTACATTATTTTGTATCGCTGTCATTGCTTGTCGTTCCTCTCGTGTATGTCCCCCTCTCGCACCTCCCTCCTCCCATTCCCTGAAACCTGTCCTCTGTTCAGCCCATTCACAAGCTAGTGTTGGAAATTCGATTCATTTTTTCCTCCCTGTCTCTCGTCTCTCATTCTGTCGTTCTCTCTCTCTCTCTCGTCTCTCTCTCTCTCTCTCTCGTTCTCTCTCTCTCTCTCTCTCTCTCTCTCTCCTCTCTCTCTCTCTCTCTCTCTCTCTCTCTCTCTCTCTCTCTCTCTCTCTCTCTCTCTCTCCCCCCCCCCCCCCCCTCCCTCTCTCTCTCTCTCTCTCTCTCTCTCTCTCTCTCTCTCTCTCTCTCTCTCTCTCTCTCTCTCTCTCTCTCTCTCTCTGTCAAACTCTTTCGCTCGTTTATGTATCTATCAAAACGCTACTATATACGAGCTCATTTATGTTTTCTTCTTTCCTTGCCCAGATTATTGCGTTTCCTCTATGCGGTTATTATCACATCTGGTATTTTTATTCGTTATTCTCCTTTGTACTTCTCTTCCCCACCTGCCTACGTTTCAAATCCTGTAATTCCGTCGTATCGTAGTTCTCTAATGTGTCTCTGCCTCCGTCCTTTTTTCTGCCCCTTCTGCCCCGTTCCTTTCCCTTCCCACTACGTTTCCCCCCGTTTCCCTCCCAGGGTCTTCGCTATAACATTCGGAGGCTAATGTGGAAATTAAAAGGATTTTGTTTGATTTTTGTTTGAAATGTTAATGATTGATGCTACTGCATTGTTATGTTAGATTTCTTTTAGGTTCATTTTCTGATTGTGACTCGTCTTTGTGTGTGCATATCGGTATGTGCGTGTGTGCGTATGTGTCTCTGTGTGCATATTCATACATATCCACCTGCCATTGCATTAACAATGCGTATCTGTGGATTTTAAAAAAATGGTCAAGCTATCATTTCCGAGAAGGTTCTTTGCCCACTCAGTGAGTGTGTTCACTTGAACTGGATTTGATGGATTTTGATCATTTTTTTAGTTTACACAGATTGTGTTGTTTCATGTAACAGTTGGATGATTCAGGAACTATGCTATTGACTTCCCCCCCATGCTAGGCAGGGGATGCGGTAGCATAAGGTCTGGGTCAATTAACTGTCACGCATTTCCATCATGCCATGCATTCATTTCACTGCACCGGACCTATACCGAAATAAACAGAGCACATGTATATTCACCACAGTCATATATGCATGTATATTTATGCATTTTGCACTCAATCATCATTATACTTCATCTATACATTATATATTCCGGCATATGCATTACCGAATAAACGGTCACGCATTCACAGTTACGGTACATCATTCACACTTAAGTCATGTTTATGTTTCATCGATAAAGTATAGGTTACCAGTCAAGGCGAACTACCTAGGAAATGTGAAAGAATGTGGTACGGCACGTGCTAAATTGTCGTGGCAAATACACAGCATTGAATCACTTAGCCACGATTCGCTATTTTTTTTCATAAAGATGAAAAAAAAATTGTACATAACGATTGTAATAGGTTGCTTCGCAACCCAAAAAAAAAAAAAAAAAAAAAAAAAAAAACCAAGGCTCCCAATGTCACGATGCGTATGTCTTAGTCGTAACTCGTATGAACCCGTATGTCAGCAACTCGTCAGTCCTAGTTGTAGCTCTGAACCCGTTACCTCCTACCAAGTTTCGCCATACCTCCCAATCCCGTTACACTATGCGGCGCGCGGTAATCGCGGCGGACGGTGCGTGCCGCGACCACATGCGCGCGCCGGGCCGCAGATCCACAGTTCAACTTCGCCAAGTCCTGTGCACTTCCATGCACTTCACGCTGTCTCCCGCGCAGGTACCACGGGTACAGACGCCGCATATCCACAGTTTCAGAGACTCTCCGCCACGCGATCTCGCCACGTGTCCGTCCATTCAAGCGAATTAAAATCTCGTCATTCTCGTCGCGTCTTCACTTCCACTGTTACTTGTACCTGTGCAATGCTTAGCAGTCTCGTCCAATCCTAGGATCTGATGGTGCTGCTGCAAAGTCGCTGTCGGAGAGAAGTTCGCTTGCACCGTCGCACGCGCCGTCGCACTCACCGTCGCACGCACCGTCGCACGTGCTGTCGCAATCAATGTCGCCAGTCAAGCGATCGTCGCTCGTCACACCGCTTAGTCCTTCCGTCATGTAGATCATTCGTTACGGATTCGCTCATTACACGCACATGATACTCTTTCGCCGCTCACGCACTGGTGCAACTCAACGCTCGTTCCACATCGCGAGTGCTTCTAGCGCGGATGCACGTTCCGCCAATCATCCGCGTTCTCCTTCCGCGGATGTTACTTTCCCGCGAGGAACGTTTGCACTGACGTTCCTGGGGCAATGGCGGAATGGTTTGCGCTGTCGTTCCAGGGGCGGAAGGGGCAATGGCGGAAGGAAACCGCGGCGGAGATCGGCTACCGCGTGGCGGAGCCCCCATCGGCGCGCTCTATAGGGGGGACTGGCGGGGGAAATGGAAGGAGGAGCAGCGGGGGGGGTGCCGGGGGAGCGGGAGAGGGTGGGGGATCGGCGGGGGGTCGGGGGGGTAGCAGCGCAGGATGAGGGGGGTCGACATCAGCGAAGCGGGGGGGGTTGAAATCAGCCGCCTCTTCAACAATTCAGGGGCTAGGCGCGTTCGCAGTGGTTCAGGTGCGGAAAAGAAGGACTCCGGTCAGACGCTGGGTGTAGATCGGTGACAGTGCGGTGCAGGGAAGTACGCTGGGTGTAGATCGGTGACTGTGCGGTGCAGGGAAGTACAGCCGTTGGGGATTTAGGCACATTCGCAGTGGCTCAGGTGCGGAAAAAAAAACGGCTGAGTGTGAGACGGTGGTGATGGGCGGTGTGAGGCGATGATGGGTGAGCGGTGATGGGTGAGCGGTGATGGGTGTGCGGTGCTGGGTGTGCGGTGATGGGTGAAGCGCGGTGCAGGGGAGTAGAACCGTTGTAATGGTGAAAGCAGTAGGCTCCACCCATCGTTCACAGTGGAGCCAGTAATCTTTGCAACTCTCCCCACCCCCAACGTGGTGACTTTTGAGTCGACTTAAAGGTCACTTTGTCGACTCAAAGGTCCCCTTGTTGACTCAAAGGTCCTCATGCCGACTCAAAAGTCGCATGTTCGACTCAAAGGTCGCATCTGTCACAGTAGAGCCACTAGTCTTAGCAACTCTCCCCACCCTCCAACCAATCATGTGTTTTGAGAGTGTGTGGAAACAGGGGGAAAGAGGAGAGAAAGAGGGGGGGGGTGGGGGCGGGGGGAAGGGTTGGGGGGGGGGGGGGGGGGAGGGTTTGGGGGGGAAGCAGCGGGGGGTACCAGCGCAGGACGAGTGAGTGACGTCCGTGAAGCGACGGCGGTTGAGATCAAGGAGCAAGACGCATTCGCAGTGGTTCGCAGCGGTTCAGGTGTGGAAAACGAAAAATTGAGGTAAGATGTTGATGTGTGTTAATCGGTGAAACGTGGTGCACTGATTCTGCTGTTCTACTGTAGCCGAACCAGTGGCCAGGGTTGACGTTTGAGTCGACTCAAAAGTTCTACTGGAGCCGAACCAGTGGCCAGGCTCACTCGATCGATACAAACAGGCTCATCTCATTTATTCCGACTCATCTCTGTTGTACTCAGTGCCTTCCAATCAATGACTTTTTCAATCACTGATGACAGCTCACGTTCTTACCATCCCTATTCCAATCCCCTTTGCCCTCACATTCCCTCCACTTTTGCAGCAGCAGCAGCAGCAGGAGCAGCAGCAGCAGCAGCAGCACTCTCCTGATTTATGAGCACTTCCGATCATTCACGAACACTTGTAGCTCCACAAGAGCCTTACCCCATCTTCCCATCGCCCCTCCCATTCTCCTGCCATCGGCTCAATCCCTTCACCACGCCCTTCCCCCACTCGTCCTTTCCTCGCTCATCCACCCACTTCCCGCAATCCCGCCCCATGTTGCTCTCCTTTCCTCACCCTCCCAAACCTCATTCCATTTTGTATTCACTCCCTTGGGAACCACTGTCCATTGTGCTCTTCTCCTCGTATTCCTTCCCATTCTTTGGACACTGCACCATTTGTCCCTGTGAGCCACCTAAATGAGCATCACTTATACACCAATGCTTACTCCACTCGTCCCCTCACTCCTTCCCACTCTCACCTCTCACTTGTAGAGCCATGTATGAAACAAAACTGCGCATTAAGAGCATGCTTGCACTTTCCACTGTCATATCCCCTTAGACTGATTTTTTGCTCCCCTTCATTTACACATCCTCTGCCCCTCGTGTTTTTGCTTGTGTGTTCCTTGCCTAAATTCTACTTTGTGCTTTACCCCCCCCCCCCCCCCCCCCCCCCCCCCCCCCCCTCCTCCCCCTGTCCTCTCCGGCTCCCGTTCCTTCCTTCACATTATCGTTTGGACCACCAGAATCAGCAGAAGCATTGCGTTTGCAAGGAGTTCCGGGCAAGTTTATGGAGAACAAGGGCATTTGAGCAGGAGAATCACCTTCTTATGGAGGGCACTATCACCCACCCATTCGTCTGAGGTCAAATTTGGAAAGCTTGAGAGCCCATCCCAGACGGCATTTTGATCATCATTCTTCGTCACGTAGATACACAGGTTCTGCAGAGTCACCGTATCTTCAAAACCGTCATCTATGCAGGACAGTACCATTGCAGGATCGATATTTACATAATCCAAAACGTATTTAGCAATTGTGGTGTAATATGATTAACCTGCACTGTGAATTGCGTCTCATTATCATTTTTTCACCCAACCACGGGAATTGACCTGACAATCCCTTCTGGGTCGACGAAAATGCGAATGCGATCGGTGCGATAATCCGCGGTAACCATCACCCCAAACGGAATGATTACGATGTCCCAGTTGCACTGCGGCACAGACGCCTGGATGTAAGCTTTAGCCGCCTCGCCTGTCATGCCCAGCACCTCAGGCCAAGACGTCTTGCTGTAAGGAAGATACAGAAACGGCCGATTTACAAGGACTGGGGATGACGAACAATCATTACATAATTCTTAAAAAAAAAATCAGCGATAAAATAGCGAGCGCTGCTCCAAAAATTATACCCCCATTCAAATAACCTAAAACATACCCTGAACATGGAAACTGTGGCATACGAGTCCTGGTGGAACATTCACTTCCACCTCGCTACAAGTTCAAAAAGTCCCTACGAACCTGCAGTCGAGCTCCCGTGGGGAGCGCAAGCGGCCGATTGCCTGCGACGGAAATTCTCGGGACAAAGCGACCGGAAGAAGCAAGGCTGAGAGGAGGAGCAGGACCAAGACGGGGAAGAGACGACGAAGTTCCATTGCTGACGGAACAAGAAGAGGAAGTACCAAACGAGATAAGAAACGGGCTCGTGAATTAGAGCAGTCTATGCTTTCAGACTAAAAATTCTTCTGCTGCTGATTTTGAATACTTCTCATGGAGCTGGACTAAATAGTCAAGCTTTGACTAAGATCTATTCCGGCGTGACTTTCGACTTAGCGGCTTGAAGCGGTTTGGGAAGTGGAGGTGTGGTGGAGGCGGGAGGAGGAGAATAAGGACGTTGGGTGAGGGTAATTTCTGGAAAAGGTTTACCCTTTCCGGGGACATCGTGAGACCGGAAAATATGGGTCGTGATGCGTCACCGTGTGCTTTGGTGTTGCGTGTGTTCATTTGTTGATGCTCGGACTCGAACTAGGGAGTTGCTTGCTCTAAACTCAAAATCGCCAAGCGATGCTCGTCAAGCGTTTTCATGGTCACTAGCCTGATCTCTATCATCAGGTCGGCAAGTACCTGGGAAGAAAAACAAGCGGTAGAAGTTACGAGAAAGTCGGCTGTTGAAGCGGTGTGGAAAAAATCGTGGGTCAACGAAACTTGGCAGTGTTATGGTTGGTTGGCAAGTTGGCAGTGCAGGTCTTGTTGTAACATCCATTTATCTTCGATATAGATTCAGCTTCGGAACCTTAAGAGCCACAGAAGCGAATTTCATACACAAAAAACTTATATAGTTTTGCGAGAAACTTGGGCATCAACGGGAAAATAGAATCCACCAATTTCGCTACCACCTTTGTTCTGATCACTAATAGTACTAGCTCTGAACGCGTTCCTGCCGAGTTCCGCCACACCTCCCTGTCCCGTTCCGCCATGCGGCGACGAGCGGCAAGGCTGGCCGTGCCTGTCGCGACAACACGCGCCGATGCGGAGACGTTGCAGATACACAGCTCTCATTTGAATCGTTTCAGAAGCTCGCCGTTTCACGATCTCGCCACATGTTCATATACTTCCTCGAATCATGACCACCGTCACTTGCAGCTCTTGCGATGCAATCTCGATTTAGACTAGATTCTTTGGTGCCGCTCCAGAGTCGCCTTTGCAGCGAAGCTCGCCAGCACTGTTACCGTCGCGCGCACTGTCGCACTCACTGTCGCCAGTCAATCTGTCGTCGTTGTCACGCCACCCAACCCTTCCTTCCGTGTAATTTCCTCGTTTGTGGACTCCCCTCGTCACATGCACATGTGTTCTCTACCGCCCAAGCTCACGCACAAGTCCACAACAATGCTATCGCAACTGCTAATTTCGCGAATGCTAGTGGCGCGGATGTTACTAGCGCGGATGCGCGCGTGCCGCCAACGCCCCGCGGGAAGGGTTTGTGCGGTCATTCATTCTTGGGGCAATGGCGGAAGGGAAACTCGGCGGAGATTGGCTACCGCGTGGCGGAGCCCGCATCGGCGCGCTTCAGAGGGGAAGCGACCAGGGGAAATAGCGGGGAGAGCAACGGGGAGAGAAGCGGGGGCAACAGCGGGGGGAGCGACGGGGAGTGCAGCGCAGGATGGGGGGAATTATGTCAGTGAAGCGACGGGGGTTGATGGGCGCAGGGGGGAGTGGGGGGAGAAACCGGGGGCAGGGGGAAGAAGGGGAGAGAAGGGGCAGGGGGAGGGGGGGGGCAAGGTGGGGAGCGACGGGGGGAGCAGCGCAGGATGGGGGAAGTGATGTCAGTGAAGCGAGGGGGGTTGAGTTGAAGGAAACGGGGACAGGGGGAAGTGGGGGAGAACGGGGGAATGCGGGAGAGGGGGAGAAACGAGAAACGAGAGCAGGGGGAGGGTGGGGGGAAATGGGGTAAGGAGGGAGGGGAAGAAACCAGGGCAGGGGGAAGAGGGGAAAATATGGATGTAGGGGGAAGAAGGGGAGAACGGGGGCAGGGGGAAGAGGGTGAAAAATGGAAGCAGGGGGGAGTGGGGGAGACATGGGGGAGAATAGACACAGGCGGAAGAGGGGGAGAAATGGAGGACGGGGGAGTGGGGGAGAAGCGAGAGCAGGGGGGTTTGGAGGAGGAATTAGGTCAGGGGGGATTGGGGGATTAACGGGGACAGGGGAGAGAGTGGTGGAGAAACTGGGACAGGGGAAATTGGGGGAGAAACGGGGGCAGGGGGGATTGGGGAGAATCTGGGGAAGGGCGGATTGGGGGAGAAATGGGGGAATGGGGAAGAGGGGGAGAAATGGAGGACAGGGGGAGTGGGAAAGAAACGGGGGAGGGGGGGGGGATTGGGGGAGAAACGGGGGCAAGGGGGATTGGGAAAGAAACGGGGGCAGGGGGGATTGGGGAGAAAATGGGGCAGGGGGGATTGGGGGAGAACGGGGAAATGGGGAAGAGGGGGAGAAATGGACGACAGGGGGAGTGGGAAAGAAATGGGGGCAGGGGGGATTGGGGGAGAAACGGGGGCGGGGGGGATTGGGAAGAAACGGGGGCAGAGGGAAGAGGGGGAGAAATGGGGGCAGGGGGAAGAGGGGGAGAAATGGGGGCAAGGGAAAAACGAAGGCAGGGGGAAGAAGGGGAGAAAGGGGGGCAGGGGGGAGTGGAGGCAGCAGTAGAAGCGGCAGCAGGCGCGGCGGCGGTGGCGGGGTGGCGGGGCGGCAGCAGCACCAGCGGCAGCGGCAGCGGCATCAGCAATTGCAGCGGCGGTGGCAGCTGCAGCTCGAGCAGGATTCCCTCTTTTTACCTGATTCTTGTACCACACTTCCCTCTTCCCACTTCCCACTTCCCACTTCCCTCTTCCCACTTCCCTCTTCCCTCTTCCCTCTTCCCTCTTCCCACTTCCCTCTTCCCTCTTCCCTCTTCCCTCTTCCCTCCTAACTATCTGGATGTTATCGCTACACATCAAGAGTCTGACTTGTAGTCGCTTGCTTGTTGCCCTCTGCTTCAAATGCCATGAGAACCCAACACTACAACACTACTTCCGAGTCAACTTAAAAGGGCATGATAACCCCCTTTCTCACTCTACAGCGCTCACGATGCACTTCTCCCTCTCATGATGCACTTCTCCCTCTCATGATGCACTTCTCCCTCTCACGATGCACTTCTCCCTCTCACGATGCACTTCTCCCTCTCATTTCCCGATAAACAACCAATTCCCGGAGCCCTTGCACTTTGTCCTTCATCTCCTCTGCCCTCTCATGTTTCCTCTTACCTCTTCTTCCTGCGTCACTGATCTTGTGACATAATTCTCAGCGAGCTGCTGGTACCCTCTCATGTCTCCCCTTACCTCTTCTTCCCCTTACCTCTCATATTTCCTTTCCCCTTACCTCTTCTTCCTGTGTCACAAGCATAAGTTTGTTTCCTATCCCCATCTCCTGCCTTCATCTCCCCCCATCCCCCTTTCTCCCCCTTCTTTTTCCATGCATTTTATCCCCAAGCGTACTTAGTTGTGTTATGCGCCCTTATCTCTTCCTTCACTACCCTATGTGCTGCATTTCTCAGGTTGCGCTGCAAGGTGTCAAATGTTGTAGCCTATAGTGAGGTTTGTCTTAGGGGGTACAAAACTTAGGGTTAGCTATATGTACCCCAACCAACATCAATGCATCATCCATTCTTCATTCTGACATGGTATCAGTTAGGTTAGGATCCTGTGGGATCCCGTTCCTCCGTTCTCCGTTCGAGCCTCCCGAGCCTGATCCTAGCTCTCATTCGTCCCGGTTCCGTTGTTACCGCGCGTAGTGCCGAGCCTAGCGCCAATCCTAGCGCCCGTCCGCGCCACCCGTTCCCCTCGTTCCGTAGCGCCCGCCCTTACCCCCCGTCGCGTCGCGTTCCCCCCCCACGTCGTGTCGCGCCCGTTCCCCCCGTCGCGTCGCCGCCCATTCCCCCCGTCGCGTCGCGCCTTTTTCCCCCGTTGCGTCCTGCCCGCCCTTTCCCCCTCGTCGCGTCCCTTTCCCCCCGTCGCGTCCTGCCCGCCCTTTCCCCCTCGTCGCGTCCCTTTCCCCCCGTCGCGTCCTCCCCGCCCTTCCCCCTCGTCGCGTCCCTTTCCCCCCGTCGCGTCCTGCCCGCCCTTTCCCCCCTGGTCGCGTCCCTTTCCCCCCGTCGCGTCGCGCCTCCCGCCCTTCCCCCCTCGTCGCGTCCCTTTCCCCCCGTCGCGTCCCGCCCGTCCTTTCCCCTCGTCGTGCCCCTTTCCCCCCCGTCGCGTCCCGCCCGTCCTTTCCCCCGTTGGGTCCCTTTCCCCCCGTCGCGTCCCGCCCGTCCTTTACCTCCGTCACGGCCCGCCCCTTCCCCTCCTGTAGCGGCCCGCCCTTTCCCCTGTAGCGGCCCGCCCTTTCTCCTGTAGCGGCTCGCCCCTTTCCCCAGCCCGTCGTCTTAACCCTAGCCTGCTCTTCCGCTGCCACTGTATCCCTAGCGTTAGTTCTCGCTATGGCGACTCCGCGTGTGCTTCGTTTCGACGCTGACGGTAGACCTCTTGATTTTTCCGTCTGGCTTCTTCGTGCTCGCCGTCTGTTAGAGAGTCAGGTCCAGGCAGGCGAGACCCTCTGGGCGCACGCTACTGGTGCCCTACCTGCGCCCTCCGACCCTACGCCTTTAGGACCTGCCCCTGACGACGCCGCTAGAGCCCGCTTTGCCACTCAGCGAGCTGACCAGACGGCTTGGACGTCACGTGACGCTGCGGCCTGCATCGCGCTCAGCAGCCTCCTCCCTGAGTCTGAGGAGGTTCACTTCACTCAGGTTCGCACCGCTGCTGAGTACCTCACTGCGATTAAGGCCCGCTACTCTTCTCCCGCTGCTGTCTCTCTTGGCCGCCTGTTCCTCCCGTTCCTGTTTCCTGACCTAGCGTCTTTTGAGCGCTCTGCTGACTTGATCGCTCACCTCCGCTCGCTCGACGCTAGTTACCGCGCTGCTTGCACTGAGGCACAGCTTGCACTGCTTCCTCCCCCTATGGCGATTACTATCTATTTCATCGCCACTAGCCTCCCTGACCGCCTTGCCTCCGTTCGCGACGCGCTTCTGCTGAAGCACCCTAGTGAGCTCACCGTCGATGTCCTTGAGTCTACACTCAAGGACGTC